CCCACTACAGGACGTCGGGCCCTCAGGCCATCTTCATGAAGTCTGTTCCTGATTGTTTGGGTGGAGACATTCACACCAGTGGCCCTCTGGAGGTCAGTCTGTAGGGCACGAGCAGTGCTCAGCCTGTTCCGCCTTGCACAAAGGAGCAGGTATCGGTCCTGCTGATGGGCTGTGGACCTTCTACGGCCCTGTCCAGCTCTCTGAGAATAACCACCAGTCTCCTGAAATCTCCATGTTCTGGAGATTGTGCTGGGAGACACATTAAACCTTCTTGCTGCAGCACATGTGGATGTGCCATCCTGGAGAAGTTGGACAACCTGTGCAACTTCTGTAGGGTTAAGGAATCGCCTCATACCGCCAGTAGAGAGCCAAAACTAGCACGAGTGGAAAACCAGCCGAAAGAGATCAAGAGGAAGAAACTTGAAATGACCTCTACATGTTAAACCAGTCCTGTTTTGAGGGTTTTGTGATTGTTGCCACTTTAGTGCACCTGTCGCTAAGTCCATGAACACCAACACAGCTGACAGTGATTAACAATGCCCTCAGCTGCTTAATCAACCAGGAAATTATCAGACAGGTTTAACTGATTTCATGCCAGGCCCAATAAAAAAAGTGTTCCTTTAATTCTTGTGAGCAGTGTATTTGCAACAACTTCAAAGACACTTTTTTCACATTATCATTATGGGGTGTTGTGTGTTGAATTTTATGGGCAAAATGAATTTAATCCATTTTGGGATGAGGCTGTAATGCACTGTAGAAGTCAGCTCGAGGACCAGTGGCAGAACATGGCAGGATTTGGAATATATTTCCTGATATTTGAGCATCTCGCCTCCGACTGGCAAACAGCAACGCGACTCTACCACCGACACCATTTGCTTTGCAACAAAGACTGTCGAGTATCTCTGAACACGTTTAATTCACGAGTTTACAACATTTTCTCCTCCGTGCTTGCTCATGCTTGTTTCGGTGGTTCGGGCGCGCTCCACACACGCTCCGGATCTGCGTTAAAGTCCCGCCTCCGTTTGATCGACAGCAACAGGCAGATTTCTCCACAGTTTATTCTATAAGATTGAAACTCGAAACGGGAAACTGTTATTAATGCGGAACATGAGTTAATTTGTGCGACACATGAAAACTGATGAAAATGCGGGACTGTCCAGCACAAAGCGGGGCATCTGGTCACCCTACTTACACGCCTAGTAAACACCAGTATGATTTTTGGAACTGTTTAAAGTTGGCAACTATACAGTTTGGTTTCAGACTAGCTGTTAGCTTATCAATCCAGTTCTCCAGAAAGAGGACATTCAAGAAGCAATCTTTAAGGAACAAAACTGTAACTCTTACATAACTAACTCTTACACTTTTACATAGAAATGTTCCTAAAAATGGCAGAAATACCCATTTTAATAGTTTAGAGGATGGAAAATATATTTCCTGACAGACTGCTATGACGCAGACCCCCCCCCCCCCCCCCCCCCCAAAAAAAAACCTTATAGCTTTTAATTATTTATAAGCAACCACAGGCGGCTCCACTGGTTCTGAAACAAGAGTTACTGCTCAGCTAATAGAGGAGATAATTCGTTTAATCCGAAATATCTTGCTAAACAGCTTGTTTGTGAGTGCAAATGTGTGTGTGTGTGTGTGTGTGTGTGTGTGTGTGTGTGTGTGTGTGTGTGTGTAAACGTGCATGTATGCATTTTTACTTCCTTATTTACAGGCGGAACTTGGTCACTGCATCTGTGTGTTCCTTTGCATTTATAATGTACAAACACACCCTTCAAGAATAAAATAAACAACACATGTGCACTTAAGCCCATTTTTGGAGAGCGACTTGCATGTCTAGGAAATTCAGCAGGAAGCATGCGGCAAAGGTTCCGCTGGATTAAAACCGAATCCTCTAAAGAAACAGTTTATCCTGCAAATGATCTTGATTTTAGCTCCAAATCCTTTCACTGTCATCTTTATCACTCTGAATAATGACTGCTCTCTCGCTCTGTTCTCGTGCAGTCCCGTGTTAGCTCGTATGTCTGAGACAGAAAAGAGGGAATGCAGTTTGATGACTGACTATGATAATGACACCTGCATGACTCAGTGATGCATATTGGATGCACGGCTGCCTGCTGTGCCTCCATAAATTATACGTATATTTCATTAGTTATCGAAGGCCTCCTCAGCATCCACAGCCCAGCTTACCAAATCCATGACACTACCCATTGTCTTTGATTTTCCTTTCAGAATTCCTCACACACTCATAAATCACCATTCTTGGTAAACACCTGCCATTTTCAGCAGCATGCACTAAATGCATTATCACATTTTTATAACTGCAGCACACATTGTTTACCTGCTTTTGTGTGCACGTGACTCACACTGGAACAGCTGCACTTGAACACCCATGCTTTAAAGTAGCAGCAAATGTTCAGGAGGAAGAGAAATTGTGAGCAGATGTAGAAAGTTTAATTTACTAAAAGAAGAAAACATTTTCCTCTCTTCTAGCTGGAGATTCAGATCATTTGTTTCTTTCAAAAGAACTGCATTGCCAAGCTTCGCATCATATCTTGTCTGATCTGTCAGCTCTGAGATTTGTGAATGGATCTCAACTAATAACATACTACTCGAATAGTTTCCCTCTGGGATTACAAAAGTATTTTTGAGTTGAATTTGAACATTGGACTTAACTCATTAGCAGGACTGAGCTGTGTGTACTAATGCTAATTAGCTAAAACTTGATTTGCTCTATTTTGAGGATGTTAACGACCAGGTTCACTGAGAAATCATTTTTTACTCACTATATTTGACAATGATCGGCCATTTTGACGTTAACACAGGCTAAACGTTACACACCAACACACCAACGTCACACTGTCACTGAACATTGATGGACTCAGCCATCTTGACTTATGACAAGGAAGACTGAACTACCAGAAGCTAACAGTTAGCATTAGCAACTCCACCACATGGCACAATATTTTTGTTTGCTATTATTGATGTATTTTCTTTTTGATCCTAGTTTTATTGGTGTCTTGTTTCTATGTTTTATTTGTGCTGTTTTCAGCGCTTTGGGTCCCCCTTGAGGATGATGGAAAGCGCTGTACAAATGAAAGTTGATTGATTGATTAGATGTTTGGGAGTATAAAAACTTCGTCGGTGTCCTTTGTGCTAAACTTCAGTCAGCAGAAACTAGATAAGGTTGTCTCCACGTTGGCGACATCATGGATTAGAAGGGTCAGCAAGCTTTTAGGTCTGTGCTTGTGGGCAGGGGTGTGTGTGTATGTGTGTGTGTGTGTGTGTGTGGGGGGGGGGGGGGTCTTAGGCAGTTTGGAGAGGTCACTGCAGGGGAGTAGTATGGTTCAAGTGCTGTTTCAGCAAACTGGAGTCTCACCTGCTGTGGTATTCCCATCTGTAACTGCCCCCCCCCCCCCCCCCCACACACACACACACACACACATTGCAGTGGTGGGCTGTAGTTGCTGAATTACTGTTTTCTCTACACTCCCCCAATGTCTCACCTACATGCCTTTTCTTAACTTGTTTGATTCCACCCTCTGACCCTGGTTAATTATTTGAGCCGAAGCCGTGTCACTGTAAGCTGCCTTCAGAAGAAGAAAGAGTGAAATAAAAGGGCAGAGCCTGGGGACGGAGGGGTGGTGGTGGGGGGGCAAGGGATGAGTGGAAAGTTTGGAAAATGAAATGAATTAGATTAATGTGCTGCTGATGAAATGATGAGACACTGGGCTTCCTTAATGAGAACGCTGCCTGCTCCCCCATCTCCCTGCCTGCCTCTCTCTATCCTTCCTGTCCACATCTTCTCTATGAAACATCACAAAACCCAACAGTAAGAACTCCTCTTCCTCGGGTAAAGGAAAACGACGGAACACGCTGGGTATTTATAGCTCCAGCTGTTTCAAAGGAGAAAAAATTAAATGTGTTTCTATGACAACAGAAGCGAGGCATCCCGTCCTCACAAAGGACCTGACAACAAACACATCTACGTGTCCTTGAGGCAAGCAGTTGTAACGTCCCTCCATCCACTCCTTCTCTCATAGACCGTGGATGGATGGATGGATGGATGGATGGATGGATGGATGGATGGATGGATGGATGGATGGAGGGCAGAACACAGAGAAGAAGCAAGTACGGGAGAAGAGAGGTTGTCATGGGAACAGACATGGCAAACCCTCTGCAAGTGAAAAGACAAAATGACAGAATAGTAGTGTGATAAACACACAACAGGCTGCTCAGTCTTACAGGTCAAAGGAAAGAAAAGGAGAGAAAATACTTCAGAGGTGTGTCTACAGAAGGAGGAGAAGCTCATCAAATGTTCAGTTACCCTGGAAAACTAATCTGTGGAGCTCACTGTTCAGGAAACAGCTTGCTTTCTGCAGTTTGTTCAACCAAAGTGTCCCTAAGTGTTCAGCACATCTGCCCGTACCAAGACCTCCTTATGCTGCTGGAAAGTGAAGCCATGCTATGTTTATTTGTTTTAGGTTCGTTACATTTTTACAGTACAACATTCTGTTTGGGGCAGTAGCTCAACAGGTTGAGTGGGTTGTCCAGTAATCGGAAGGTTGCAGGTTCGATCCCGGCTCCGGACAGAGAATTCTGCTGTTGTGTCCTTGGGCAAGACACTTAACCCACCTTGCCTGCTGGTGGTGGTCGAAGGGACCGGTGGCGCCAGTGCTCGTTAGCCTCGCCTCTGTCAGCGCGCCCCAGGGCAGCTGTGGCTACATTGCAGCTCATCACCATCAGTGTGTGAATGTGTGTGTGAATGGGTGAATGATACACTGTAGTGTAAAGCGCCTTGGAGTCCTTACTCTGAGAGCTGCTGTACAAGTGAAGGTCATTTATCATTTGTGTACATGGAGGGGGCGGGGCCTAAACACATTTGAGCCACTAAGGGTGCTTGTTATGTTTTGGCTTTAACTTTCTGATTCTGTTCCTGTATAAAAAAAACGAAAACAAGAAATTAATTTTTCTTTGTTTTTATTTTTCAACTGTAGCCGGTGCCCACCAGCCCCACCAGCACGTCCCCCACACCCGATGGAACTCTGGGCATGTCCAAAATGGATGCTCCAAGCCTGCAGGACGTGTACATCCTCTCTCCCGTCTCTGGACTCTACAGCACCAGGTCACACACACTCACACACACGGGTTACTCTCTGTTTTTGATGATGGCCATTATGCTGATTATCACGACGCTGATGATGACAGGAGGGATGATGCTAATGGCATTGATGATGACAGCTCTGCTTTCCACAGGGAGGAGATGGGCCTAATGTCATGTGATGAAATCAGTCGCTATAGCGTGAGCTCCCACTCCGGCTCCAAAGGTTCAGAGGCTGTCAGCTACTACCTGGACCAGGATAGCGGACAGTACTTCTCGTTGCTGGAAGGAGACGGACCTGACTATGATAGGAGTCGCAACACAGGGGTCCGGCGGAGGGACAAGACCCCAACACACGGTAAAGCGGACAAAGACGCCAGGTTGGAACAGGAGTGGCTGTGTGTGCACATTCACCTCCACCAGTTCTCTCATCTCACCACTCCTCACGTGTTTGCTCCTCACCTGCTTCAACGCTGTGCCTCTTCGTGTTTTTATCTGACATACGCACATCCCAAACACAAACACACGCCTGGCAGTCGGTTTGAACACACTTGCAGCTTCTGCTCCCTGTCTGCCCTGCCACCTGTGTCCACCTTTGTCTCTAGACGGCCTCCATAGCAGGGACCAGGATACCATACGATGTGCAAGACAAGGGTCACGAAGCAGCTTGCTCACACCCTTCATAAATATACATGCAAACATAATCATTCACAGATCCCTGATGTCTTCCACACTCAAACCTCGGCCAACAACGTGTGCTTCAAACACCACAACAAGTGAGCTCTATTCCAAACAGCCTTTTTGTCTCTCGCTGTTGAAATTTTTGTTTTGACAGGAATCTGTTCCACATGTAATCAGGTAACATGGAAAAAGACGTAAGTTGTTGCAAAATATCCCTTCAGACGCCGGTAGGAACATGTTTTATTTTCACTCATGTGGTAAATAAGCATCAGTATGCATTGTGAGTAGATAAGAAAGTACAAAAATCAGTGGATCAGTAATGGAGTGAACTTGATCTCGTCTCGTCTTCTTCTGCCTATCCGGGTCTGGGTCGCGAGGGCAGCATCCCAACTAGGGAGTTCCTGACCGTCCTCTCCCCGGCCACCTCCACCAGCTCCTCCGGTAGGACCCCAAGGCGTTCCCGGACCAGATTGGAGATGTAACCTCTCCAACGTGTCTTGGGTCGATCAGGGGGCTCCTGCCAGCAGGACATTCCTGAAACACCTCCAGGAGGCATCCTAACAAGATGCCCAAACCACCTCAACTGACTCTTCTTCATATGGAGGAGCAGCGGCCAGGGGTAGACTGGGACCAAAATTCGGCCCTGGCATTTTTACGAATCGTCGGCCCTCCCCATTGGGAGAGCGGTGGGGGTGGGGGGTGTTGCCGCCCGCGCACTCGTCTCTAGGCCGAATGTGAGATCTAATATGGACTGGGACTGTTAAATTACAAGCAGGGCCAGACCGCTGCGACCAGGAGCCCTGGCCTTCCAGATCAGCTCATTCACCACAGGCGGAGATCAGCGGGAGAATAGCTACATGCTAACGCGGTAAAACAACTTCTACGTCGTCGCCGCTCTACGGCGTTTTTCTTGCTGAAACCACCTGGAAAAACTCTGTTAGCTTCGGGTTACCATGTAGCTAATGTTCTGCAGATCACCAACTGTGGAGAAGTGTCGGCCCAAGCTGGGTAATCAGCCCACTTGGCTAAGCGGCCCACCGGGACAGTGCCAGAATGCCAGATAGGCCAGTCCACCCCTGGCAGCGGCTCTACTCCGAGTCTCTCCCGAATGTCCGAGCTGTGCAAACAAGCCATCCTTTTCACTTATTTTTACTACTTCCTGTGAGTTGTAGAAGAAGTGGCTTTGTCTCCTTGCCTTCTCCACATCCACCTCTCCTCCGCCTTAACTCATCAAAGATTTTAGCTCATAGTTTTGGTATTTTTTAAAGAGCAAGTTCACTGAGAGACAGTTTCCCATGTAGGCTAAATGTGAAAACAGTCTTCTACCCCTATTTCCTGCAATAACCATCAATAGAACGTAGAAATGCTTGGGGCAGACAACGCCACACAGATCTATGTCACATTGAAAATGAACATTCATGGACTCACCCATCTTGGGTCATGGCACTGGAAGGCTGTGTTGTAGCATCCAGGAGAGAGAGGAGAAGCTAACTGCTCCGTACTTAAGAATAGACATCTTGTGCTGTCAGCTCCTGTCCTTTTGAACCTGCATGTGAAAGTGTGTGTGAATGGGTGAATGACTGATTGTGTTGTGAAGCACCTTGGGGGGGCTGTAGAACCCTAAGAAGAACCATTTTCCATTACCAACAGCGATTCAAGGACACAGCTTAGCAAATGTAGCTGCAGTAATGCAAAAGGCCTTGCATTCCACTAATAAATGCATAACCGCCTTTCGTCACAGAGATCAAAGCTAAAGTCCTTTTTAAAATGATGGCGTTAGGGTCATCCTGGTCAAATTTCATAAAAAGCTAAACATAATTGCAAATTCTAGTCTGATCCAAACACACTTTCAGTCTGTTTTGGGTGAGTCCTTTCTACAAAATCAAGTTAAAGGCGCACTTGGTAGGTTTGCTTGGTTTTAGCACCCCCTAGTGTTCGTTATTAATTCTCTGTGGTCAGAGCAAAAGTGAACCGTATCTCCTCGCTGTTTTTTTAACACCTTAATCTAACTGCTGAAATGTCTCCTAAGCCTTTATTACAGGTGCTGGCCAGTAAATTAGAATATCATCAAAAGGTTGAAAATATTTCAGTAATTCCATTCAAAACGTGAAACTTGTACATTATATTCATGCAATGCACACAGACCAATGTATTTCCAATGTTCATTACATTTAAATTTGATATTCATAAGTGACAACTAATGAAAACTCCAAATTTGGTATCTCAAAAAACTAGAATATTCTGAAAAGGCTGAATATAGAAGACACCTGCTGCCACTCTAATCAGCTGATTTACTCAAAACACCTGCAAAGGCCTTTAAAAGGTCCCTCAGTCTTGTTTTGAAGGCACCACAATCATGGGGAAGACTTCTGACTTAACAGCTGTCCAAAAGACAATCATTGACACCTTGCACAAGGAGGGCAAGACACAAAAGGTGATTGCTAAAGAAGCTGGCTGTTCGCAGAGCTCTGTGTCCAAGCACATTAACAGACAGGCGAAGGGACGGAAAAAATGTGGTAGAAAAAAGTGTACAAGCTCTAGGGATAACCGCACCCTGCAGAGAATTGTGACGACAAACCCATTCAAAAATGTGGGGGAGATCCACAAAGAGTGGACTGCAGCTGGAGTCAGCGCTTCAAGAACCACCACGAGGAGACTCATGAAAGACATGGGATTCAGGTGTCGCATTCCGTGTGTCAAGCCACTCTTGAACAAGAAACAGCGCAAGAAGCGTCTCGCCTGGGCCAAGGACAAAAAGGACTGGACTGATGCTGAGTGGTCCAAAGTTATGTTTTCTGATGAAAGCAAGTTCTGCATTTCCTTTGGAAATCAAGGACCCAGAGTCTGGAGGAAGAGCGGAGAAGCACAGAATCCACGTTGCATGAGGTCCAGTGTAAAGTTTCCACCGTCAGTGATGGTGTGGGGTGCCATGTCATCTGCCGGTGTTGGCCCACTCTGTTTCCTGAGGTCCAGGGTCAATGCAGCCGTCTACCAGGAAGTTTTAGAGCACTTCATGCTTCCTGCTGCTGACCAACTTTATGGGGATGCAGACTTCACCTTTCAACAGGACTTGGCACCTGCACACAGTGCCAAAACCACCAGCACCTGGTTCAAGGACCATGGTATCCCTGTCCTTGATTGGCCAGCAAACTCGCCTGACCTTAACCCCATAGAAAATCTATGGGGTATTGTGAAGCGGAGGATGCAATACGCTAGACCCAACAATGCAGAGGAGCTGAAGACGACTATCAGAGCAACCTGGGCTCTCATAACACCTGAGCAGTGCCACAGACTGATCGAGTCCATGCCACGCCGCATTACTGCAGTTATTGAGGCAAAAGGAGCCCCGACTAAGTATTGAGTGCTATACATGCACATTCTTTTCATGTTCATTCTTTTCAGTTGGCCAACATTAGAGAAACAAACATTTTTTCATTGGCCTTTAGAATATTCTAATTTTCTGAGATACCAGATTTGATGTTTTCATTGGTTGTCACCTATAAATATCAAAATTAAACGTAATAAACATCGGAAATACATTGGTCTGTGTGCATTGCATGAATATAATGTACAAGTTTCACGTTTTGAATGGAATTACTGAAATATTTTCAACCTTTTGATGATATTCTAATTTACTGGCCAGCACCTGTAGTTTCTAGAGGAGCGATTATTCACCAAATCAAACAAATCTGCTGCATTCACGATCTAAAAGCTGCAGGAAATGTGCTGGCGCCAACATGTCAGCTCCACCCCACCCCACAGCTCCCTCCGCTAGGAGGTAGCACCCGGCAACTCTGGAGTTGCAATTGCGGTATTCTGGCCACAGAGGGCAGTGGGGCATGAGTCGGCACATACTGGCTCAAGAAAATGATTTAAAAATACGAAAATACTGTAAAGTACACACACAGGCAAAAACATTATCATCCACAATTTGCCTTTTGGCAGTGGGTGAAAACGTGTGTGTTCTTCACAAGTCCTCCACTACCTGCACACACCCTCTTTTGTCTCGCCTGTCCCCCCACCTGCTGTCTCCCACACTGTCTCTCAGTCCCCACACACACCCCCACCCCCATGGCAGCCTGCCTGACTGCTGATTGGTGCTTCCAGGTGATCTCAGACCAGTTTCCATGCCTCCCGAATATAACTGGATGGCCGAGGCCAAGGAACCCAGCTTGGGCAAGAGAGGGAGCCGAGGTACACACACGCACAGGCATGCACATGCGTGTACGCACACACACATGCAGTCACGGGGGTCAGGCCAGTGCTTCGCTCCATACTCAGCTCAACACATCTCAGCTCATCCTTTGGTGATCCATGGTGGTGTGGTTGTGTGAGGATACATATCTCACTAGGTATGTATCTGACGGAGTCGAAAACAACATAAATGCGAGACAACTGCATTTATACACCTGTGCTGGAAACAGAAATGCGACCACTGAAACCAAAATGGTGTCATTTCTTTTGTATTTGAATGAGAATATTTTACCACACCATCAGAAAGTCTATGAATAATATTAAAGCACCATTATTAACGAATGAGGTATGCTTCCTTTCTCTCTCTCTTCCTTTGCTTTCAGTGTTTTTACATCTATGAGTAGCAGAGAAACATGTTGAAAAGTTTTATCTAACAGGAACAGAGTGAAAGTTTCTGACACACCAGATTTAGCGCTGGCGTCCTCCAAATCAACATAATCACTGCAAACAGATTCCAGCCGTACGTCCCAAACTGTGATCCGTATCAGAGCTCTCTGCTTCGAGCCACTTTCATCCCTTTCTGCTGTTTTTATCTGTAAGAGTCCATTCAGCCTCAGCTGCTTCTGCTCTGAGGTTCTCGTCTGACTCCACAACGCTATCTCCTCCCTCTGAGGACTTTCCTTTTACTCATCCTCTCTATCCTCTGATGTTCCTCTTTTCTCCCAGACTCAGACAACTCCCTGCTGCGTTACCTTAGCGATGACAAGATCCTGGTGATCGAGGAGGAACCCGAGGGCCCTGGCAGAGAAAGCCGGCGGGATTCCACCAGACGCTCTCGACGAAAGAGCCGCAACCCCAGCAGCCCCAGCTTTCCCATCAGCCCCTCCATGCTGTCGTCCACCCTGCGTCTTGACCAGCCGCCAGAGCCTCTGCCTGTATGTATACAGACTTTAAATGTTGATGAGTTTCAGCAGATCAGGTAGCTAAAACACACTGAGACTAGCCTTAGCTACGTTTGGCTGATTAAATCCCTGCTGATGCTACATTATCAAGACTGCAATGTAAAGAAATCTATGTCTGCTTCTAAGGTAGTTCTCTGCAGCTCTTTATCTATTTCTTAAGCCTACCTCTGCACTTAAAGCAATTAAAAGACAGACGTTGAGAGAAGACAGAAATTTACATATTAACAGCAGTGCATCTATATGCCCATACAGAACTCTTCCTCCAGGAAGAAGCAAATAGGGAAATCATTCATTATCACTTCAGCCTTCTCTTGCTTTTTCTCATCGTCAGTTTGACCAGAATGACTTTTTTCTTATACATACTTTTCCCCGCCTCCGACAGAACTTCCAAAATGTTCCGGGGGAGGCGGGGGACATTGAGTCTGAATGGACTGAATGTTTTGTGCCTCCATTGTTGAGGCGGCCGACCGGACAGGATCGTCGGTGCCTGTCGTGGTGGCAACCCCCGAACCCGCTGGTGGACACCGGCGGTTAGGGATGCTGTCAAGCTGAAGAAAGAGTCCTATCAGGTCTTTTTGGCCTGTGGGACTCCAGAGGCAGCTGACGGGTGCCGGCAGTCCAAACAGAACGCAGCTCGGGTGGTCGCCAAGACAAAAACCCAGGCATGGGAGGAGTTCGGTGAGACCATGGAGCAAGACTTCCGTACGGCTTCGAGGAGATTCTGGTCCACCATCTGGCACCTGAGGGGGGGAAACCAGTGCGCTACCAACACTATCTATAGTGGGGATGGTGTGCTGCAGACCTCTACTCAGGACGTTGTGGATTGGTGGGCAGAATACTTCGAAGACCTCCTCAATCCCACTGACACGTCTTCCAGTGAGGAAGCAGAGTCTGGGGACGTTGGGTTGGCCTCTCAAGTCTCTGGTGCTGAGGTCACTGAGGTGGTTAAAAAGCTCCTTCTGTGGCAAGGCTCAGGGGGTGGATGAGATCCGCCCGGAGTTCCTTAAGGCTCTGGATGTTGTGGGGCTGTGTTGGCTGACACGGCTCTGCAATATCGCGTGGACCTCGGGGGCAGTCCCACTGGACTGGCAGACCGGGGTGGTGGTCCCCTTATTTAAAAAGGGGGACTGCAGGGTGTGTTCCAACTACAGGGGGATCACACTCCTGAGCCTTCCTGGTAAGGTCTATTCAGGGGTTCTGGAGAGGAGGGTCTGTCGGATTGTTGAACCTCAGATTCAGGAGGAGCAATGTGGTTTTTGTCCTGGCCGTGGAACACTGGAGCAGCTCTATACCCTTAGGGGGGTCCTGGAGGGTGCGTGGGAATTTGCCCAACCAGTCTACATGTGTTTTGTGGATTTGGAGAAGGCGTTTGACCGCGTCCCTCGGGGGGGGGGGGGGGCCCTGTGGGGGGTACTCCGGGGGTATGGGATACCAGGCCCTCGGATACGGGCTTTTAGGTCCCTGTATGACCAGTGTCAGAGCTTGGCCCGCATTGCCGGCAGTAAGTCGGGCTCATTCCCAGTGAGAGTTGGACTCCGCCAAGGCTGCCCTTTGTCACCGATTCTGTTCATAACCTTTATGGACAGGATTTCTAGACACAGCCAAGGTGCGGAGGGCATCCGTTTTGGTGGCCTGAGGATCAGGTCTCTGCTTTTTGCAGATGATGTGGTCCTGTTGGCTTCATCAGAACGTGATCTTCAGCTTTCGCTGGAGCGGTTCACAGCCGAGTGGGAAGCAGCTGGGATTAGAATCAGCTCCTCTAAATCTGAGACCATGGTCTTGATTCGGAAAAGGGTAGAACGCCTTCTCCGGGTCAGGGATGAGGTCCTGCCCCAAGTGGAGGAGTTTAAGTATTTTGGGGTCTTGTTCACAAGTGAGGGAAAACCATCAACATACATATAAGGACAATGGGTTTCCATAGGCTCCAATAATAAGTTTTTGTACTAAAATCGGAGGTGGCCACCACCGCCATTTTGACCGTGTCACAGGTTCCATCAAGCCCAGACAATTCCATAAAAGGGAAGAGAGGTGGAGCTGATGGTGGGACTGTAAGGCTGGGATCAACTGACGACACCCGGTCGAACTAGCTACAGGCTAACCTGAAGCTAACCCAAAGCTAATGCGGAGGTGGGAGCTAAGCTAACGGAGGTAGCAGCCTAGCTACAACCGGAGTGAACTGTGCACAACACCAGAGCTTCTGAGTCAGAGATACGCCGGGCTGACCGCTGGGTAAAACTGGGTGGAACACAGAGGTCTCCCAAGAGCTCCACAAGCCGGCAGCCGCACAGCAGACAAGCGCTGCTGTGATCTGAGATGCGCAGAGCTGCAGCTGGGGAGTACCGGGAGGAAAGGTTTCCATCCCAGAGCTCCACAAGCCGTCAGCCCACGCAGCAGACAGAATCCATGATCAGACAGAGATGCGCCGAGCTGCGGGGAGGGGAGAACCGGGTGGAACACAGAGGTCTCCCGAGAGCTCCACAAGCCGATAGTGGGAACCCAGCTCCACCAACATGTTATATTTCAACCCATTTTCTAAAGTGCAGCATTATGTTAAATGCACTGGGTTTACTCTATTACATTTAAATTTCATGGTTAAACAGTACATGTTAAAATCTAAGTTCAGCTCGGCAGTGACCTAAAATACATAAATATAATTTTACTTACCGAAAAAAATGAAGTGGAGACTCCTTGGACGCTCTATTAGTGCAATTAATGCCACAGCAAGTCATTTTGTCCAACAATTGCACAAATAATATCCTAAAAGAATACACAAACACTACAACTAATGGTCTAAGTTGAGAGACTGAAAATGGTGGAGCAGTTTCCAGGCCAGACCGAGGCTCTACTGAGGCCTTTCCCCGGAGCTAGCTCTGTGGTCACGTGGGTCTGATGCTCATTAATTATACATAATTTTAGGCTTTTAATATACTTAAACAGAAGAGTGAGAAAAAAATTCACCCCCCTCAGAGTTGTCATGAGTGTAAACTAGATCATTTAAACCAAAAACGTGTTGGTACCAGGCTGTAAACATGTTATTTCTGCTGTGAAGTTGGTATTTTTAACATGGGAGTCAAAGAGGATTTGCTCGCTTCTGACACCAGCCCCTAGTGGATGATGGTGGAACTGCAATTTTTGGTACTTCCGGGTTGGGACCAATTTTAGAGCTGCATTGTGGGGGCTTGGTTCATTCGGTCATCCCCAGCCCCTCCAGGTGTTCCTTCACGCTCTGTGTCCTTGTAGCTCCAGCCTTTTTGTCCCCATCTTGGTGTGTGCATGTGTGTGTGTGTGTCCTTCCCCAGCTCAGTGTATGTGTGTGTGTGTGTGTGTGTGAGTGTGTGTGTGTCCTTTCCCAGCTCGAGGTTTAGTTTTGTGTTTTATAGTTTTAGGTTTATCTGCCCTCCTCTGGTTCTGTTCCCCATTTAGAGAATTGTTTTCACCTGCCTTCCCTCCAGCCCCCACTCCACACACATGCTGCCTGTTTCCCTAATTGCTCCTCCCTGTCTATATCAGCCCTGTCTTGTCTCTTTGTTGTGTCGGTCCATTGTGATTTATTCTGTCCGTCTGCTCGTTCCTCTAGTGCAGGGATTCCCAAAGTGTGGTGCGCGCACCCCCGCTAGGGAGTGCGCGAGGTGAAAAGTGTAATGGCTGCGGAGCTCAGAGAAGTCTGTCATATGTCACCATTAGCGTAGAAACTCATTTGTGGGTGGGCCAAAGAAAAAGTAAGTGGGCACAATAAATGTAATTGAAAACAAGTATATTTTTGCGCGCGTGTGTGTGTGTGTGTGTGTGTCCTCCACATGTGCCATAGCTTCATAATAACAATGCGCCTATAGCTTCAGCACTCTGGCCTGCGCACGCCGATATGTTCCGTCGCGCGCACGCGTGTCCTCCGCATGTGCCATAGCTTCATAATAACAATGCGCCGAGCTTCAGCACTCTGGCCTGCGCACGCCGATATGTTCCGTATTTGATCATTTTTAAGGATGATGGAGAAATCTGAAGGTGGTGAGTCATTCTGGCAGATTGTAATGAACACCTGTCTCATGCAGGTGTTCTGACATTGTAAACCTCACACACAGAACATTGTGGATGTAACTAAATAACAAGAAATGATTCCCATTCAGGCTATTAACAGCGCGCTGAAGATCTGAAGTTCAGAGTGTGTCTGTCAGAGGTCAGATGTGTTCCGGCTGAACAACGGCTCACGGGTGCGCAAGTAAGCACATCTGGGCTGGGCAGAAGGAATTTTACAACATTGGTTTAAATAGCGCCGATAACGAGACGTGGTGACTTGAGCGGCTGTGCCGCGTGCGCGCGCGCACACACACACACACACAGATTCAATAAGCGCACACGCTGCTTTAACTCCGGCGCGCCGTCAGACTGAAGGCAGAAATGAACTCTGCCTCCACCGTGATAACAACTTTTAAGAGGTTACTTTTCATTCAAGGTCAAATTAAGATATTAGCTTCTGGGATGAGTCGGGTCCGCTCCAGCCAGTGACTCCTCATGAACCTGACCACATCTTATGTTACTGCAGCATTTGTTATTCCAGTCCGCGTGGCAGCGGATCGCAGATTCAGCCACACCATAAAACAGCAATAAGTCAGTCTGAGGTAAAAGTGAACATCATGGCTATATCTTGTCCCCTATAGACATTTGATTACGCACAAGTAGGTGATCAGCTCAGGTTTACGCAGAGCAGAAGGAAGGAGAGCGCTCTGGCCGCACAGGTTAAACGTTCCTACTTTAAGAAAACCATTAAATTGCATTGTTTATGTGCTACCTGGGCACTCTAAATGTTTATTTAAAATTAAATCAAAGGAAATTGTAATGGTATCGAATGTTTATTAATTACTATTTAAAAAATGAAAGTGATGGGGAATTTTTTAACCCTCTCTGTTTAGCTTGACATCTGATATATATATATATATATATATATATATATATATATATATATATATATATATATA